TTTCTACATTTCTTGAGACAAATGACTCCTTTTTACTTGCCATTTTCTCTCTTTTTGAACTGGAATGTTGGTAACTGTTAACCTGTGCCTGTTCTACCATTGTATGGTATGGAGGGCAGATAATTTGTTTAGTTTTTACTACAGATGGAGATGAATTATGCCCAGGATGGATAATACTTGAAGTCATACCTGTACCCAGTTTAGATGATTTAGGTGATGAAGTTTGGGATTTTTGAGTTGATGAGATTTAGATGAAATTATGGACTGAGTTGATACTGTAATGAAATGAGATCTTTGGGGACCTTGAATATATTTCTGATGTGGGATACATGTGAATCTTTGGAGGCCAGAGGGTGGGCTGCAGTAGGGAAAATAATGGCCCCACAACGTATCCGTGTCCTAATGTCTGGAACCTGTGAATATCTTATGTTATATGTCAGAAGGGAATTACAGTTGCAAATAGAATGAAGGTTGATAATCAGCTGAGCTGAAAATAAGGATATTACCCTAGATTATCCGGGGGAGGGGGTGGTCCAGTGTAATCACAAGAGCCCTTAATAAGTGGAAGTGGGAAGTAGAAGAAAAGTCAATATCAGAGTGATGTTACATGAAAAAGACTGAACCAGTCATTAATGACTTTGAAGATGGAAGAAAGCCACAAGTGAAGGAATGCGGGCAGCCTCTGGAAGCTAGAAAAGGCAGGAAAATGTGTTCTTCCTTAGAGCCTCCAGAAAGGAGTGCAGCCCTGCCTTAACTTTAGCCCAGTTTAACTTTTGACCTCCAGAACTGTAAGATAATGTTTGTGTTTTTAAGCCGCTAAATTTGTGGTAATTTGCCACAGCAGCAGTAGAAAATAAATACAAATGGCTACTAAAAAAGCCGTTTCCCAGCCCACTTTTCTTTGCCTTCCCCTACTCTAGGCCAAAATATTCATATTCTCATAATCCCTTGCAGATAGGGGTGTCATATGACTGTTATTGCTAATGATTTAGAAGTGCATTTGGGAGATTGGGCTTAAGGGAAATATTTTTGAAAGGGCTAATCTGAGGGGGCATGTTCCTTAGGTCTTTAGCCAATTTCCCTTTTTCTTAACCAGCATGGGTATTGGGGAAGAAGCCTTGAGTTGAAGCAGCCAACTTGCTATCATGAGATGAATAGCATAAAACAAAGGTCTATATACTAAGTATGGTAAGACGGAAAGCCCTTGATTTTTTTATAGCATTGTTAAGCTGCTGCAACAGCTCTATACTACCTTCTCCCAGACTTTATGCTGCATTTGTAAATAAACCCCTGTGTGATTAAGCAACTGTAGTTGAGTTTTCTGTTGATTGCAGACAAAATGCATTCCAAATTAACATATCTCTCCTTCTCACAGGTAAGGTTGATTTACACGGTCTTCTGACTAGATCCCAGGTTGTCAATTTAAGATGCTTGTTGGAGAAGTGGTTTGCTTTCCCTTAGGTGTTATCAAGGGACAGTCCTCTGAGCTACTATGGCTGACTTTTCATCGTCATTCAATCATCTCTCAGTTTGGCTAATGCAAACATATGCAGGTAACTGAACTTTCAAAGAAATATTCCAACCCCAAAAGTTGAGTTTTGGAGAATAGAATGAGAAGGTAAGCTGATAAATGCCAGCTATATTTTTAAACCTGCATTAGTGGTATCCTGACAAGATGACTAGGATGTTTATGCAGCAATCCAGAACGCTGGTTTCCATCTCAGGCAGGGAAGTAGCAGGGCCAAAATTTTTACTTAGTAAAACAAATTGACTAAATATAAGTCCTGAAAAATCTTCATAAGCAGATCAGCAATCTACATATTTTGGTAGAATATGCCTGGTGGAAGTATCAGAAATTTCTAACAACCTTTTCGATATATGGAGATGCATGTTTTGAAACAGGCCTGGAGACCCTAATGTGTCAGTATCCACTATTCCATTCCTATCTTACTTTACAAATACTTTATTGGTAAAGTGTAGAATTTAAAGGGCTCTCCAAGGGATTAATACTTACGTCT